TCGTCGTCGTCGTCGTGTCGTGTGTGTGTGTGTGTGTGTGTGTGTGTGTGTGTGTGTGTGTGTGTGTGTGTGTGTGTGTGTGTGTGTGTGTGTGTGTGTGTGTGTGTGTGTGTGTGTGATTGTAAAAACCACATGCTACATTTTGTCACTTTTTGTTCTTAGATTCTACTACCGAATGCACCATATGGGCACACACTGTTTCCTAACGTTTTTGTTGTTCCCTTGTTTTCAGCTGACGGCCACGCCTCTGCACGTCTGCAGACGACTTGAACTCTGCACCCGGCAGTTTCACCCCGCCACTGTACTGTGCCCGTGATGAGACATCCCAGCCACTTCTGGGCCTTCGCTTAATCGTATATTTCTGACAGAAAACTAGAATAAAGGCCTTGTTCCAAATGGCAATTACTGAAAAAGTGACTACTGTGTCGTCTTTGTATATCTTTCACCAAACTATAGCTAGCTGATGGCGATGAGTTAAATTTGTTTGTATGCAAAACCGCTAAACCGACTCAAGTCAAGACATTGTAGTTTGTATTCTATCTAGAAGCTGTATCTCTATTTGTAGATCTTGATTCAGATTCACAAAGTATACCTGTCTTCCTACCAGACCCGTCCTCACTGAGATACTTTGGGCCCAGTGCAGTGTGCTATGGGTCTGGCACCCAGCCTAAAACCGGAAGTTCTGCTGCAGTACCAAAGTCCTCCACCAGGAGGCCCATATTTGACCGTGACCTTCGTCTTCCTAAGACTTACCAGCATACCAAATATCATCACAATCCATAAAGGCGTTCTGAAGTTATGCTGACTACAAATGTGCAGAAACAGAAACACACACACACACACACACACACACACAGACACGCCAAAAACAATACCTCCATTTTTCATGGAGGTAATAATCAATCCACAACTTATTCAGCCTGGTTTTCGCACCTTTTATTGTTACATGAATATAATGTGAGCAATTTAATAGGCACGCACATGCATACGTACCGCAGCAAAAATAAACATTTCTTTGCGAGCAGTGTTATAATTTTTAGTCAGCATAATCGTAACCGTGTTAGCAGTATATGCAAGAATTCCACCATAGTTGTGATATACATTTAAATGCTCTGGAATGCATAGAAAAAACAACATCATCCTTCCACAATTGCACCCCTCATAATCAATGGTACCACCCTACTTTAAGTCACCATGATCATAGTCTTAAGGGTCATGGAACATCACACTTCAACTACGGGGGTGAAAACTTTACTGCATCAAATCTTCCCAACTAGAATGCACTTCAGATAATAGATATACATTTGTGTATTGCACAGTTCTAAGCGGTCTTTGTACACAAGTATATATAATATAGCACCCTCTATAGCATAAATGTAGCTTTCCCTTGCAATTTATACAATGCAATATCAAGAACGCTGTTAGCTTTTTTTTTTCAAACACAACGTATGTGGCATTAACTATCAAGTTTCTAAGGGCCTGGCCATGTGAAAGGCATGAAGAAAAACTAAAGAAGTAACATTTGCAAAGCAAATGCATAATGTTAACCTTTGCATATGGTGTGTTCTGTTAATTCTTACTTAAACACATTCACATACATGTAACGTTACTACATGGTGACAGGAGTCTAAGCCCAGAGCAGACCATGAAATTGCAACACGATGTAACCCAAAACTGGTTACCATGGTGACAGACATAAGTAAATCAGGTCATTGACCAGGTAAGAGGTCAGTGTTTGGAGAAGAAGAAGAGGAAGAAACTGAGCAAAAACAATATGCTTTCCTTTGGTTAACATAAGGAAGTGGTAGATATTGAATTCTATGGAATGTGTGTTTTACATAGCATGAATGTGCAACTTGTAACACTTACTTAAACCCCTGTTTCCATAATATGTTTCTATCTATCTCACTCTAAAATGCTGGCAGCATCTCACAGTAAAAAGCTTCACATGTACAAAAGTGTGCTGTGGTAAAAGTTACAATTAAAACGATTCCACATTTAATTAGTAGTACATTGTACATGTCCATTAAAAAAATTGAATGGCATAAAATACATTTATGTGATATGGATATGTAAAAATCTTTGAAAAGTTACAAAATATACCAAAGTTAATAAGTACGACAAATCTAAGAAAAAGCAAAGATAACTCATTATGCAAAACTAATTAATAATACACGCGAGTGCTTAAAAATGCTTATTCTAAAAGCTGACATTACAGTAGTAAGAATTCAATGCATGTAACAGCTCAGTCTGTAACCTCTAAGCTTTTTCCAGCCGTGCTTTAGCTCTACATTTACATGTGCATTCACACAAAATTGTGTATTGCTTTTTACATCTTTGCCAAGGTGTCACCAAAGAAATAACACTATTATCATCTGTTAGTTCTCAGGAAAACAATTCTAAAAAAATGCTTATTTAACTGCAAAATATGATGAAAACATAGCCTGAAGACCAGGCTAAAATACAGTCATATACAAGTTTTCTTCCCTGCTCTCTACATTTATGATGTCTGCTTACTACATTTTGCACCCTAAAATGTACAAAACCAAGAAAAAAATTGGTGTGGTCTTAAGTTCACAGTTTTAGAACTAGGATAATTGGTACATGCAATTGTAACTTTAGGCCTAAATTAGGATTATGCAATGGTTAATATAGTACATGTATATGAACAGTATAGTAGTAACACAAAATACCCCATTCTATATATTGGTCATTTATGAGGTGATTTTTCAGGACTGATTCGTTTGACTTAGCTTTGATGAAGTACATGTATATCACATAATGTGAACTGTGTAACATTAGTTATTCATGTACATGTTAGTCTATATACAGTTATTGCTTGCCGTGCTATTGTTTCCCAACTCAGCTTTTACACATTTAGATTCACTGTTAACAATAATGCTGTTAACAGAGATACTGTTAACAGTAATGCTGTTAACAGAGATACTGTTAACAGTAATGCTGTTAACAGAGATACTGTTAACAGTAATGCTGTTAACAGAGATACTGTTAACAGTAATGCTGTTAACAGAGACACTGTTAACAGCAATGCAGCAATGCTTTTCACACATTGAGCCTGGTACTGAGCAAAATTGTGTTTAAAATATCTAATTGTGTCTTGTAAAAATTACATCCTTACTTATGTCACTACAATTACATGGCACATGATGTTAATGTCTTTTTCAAACATATCTTAAAGTTAAGGACCTGGTATATTTTTCATAGATTGCATTTTTAACCTCACTCTGTCTTTTAAAAATCATACTTTTAATATTCATTTACAATAATACGCATGATGATAAAAAAAACTTGTGCACAACCGATCAGAATGCTCATCTGTGAAATAAGGTGAGCTGATTGGTCAGGTCGAATATCAGTGTAACATAACACCCTGTATATGCAAATTTGCTCTGAATAGTACAATAATAGGTAACCTAACAGCCAATCACAAAGCTCAATGTGGAAATGATGTGAGCTCATTGGTCAGTTGCCACTCTAGTGTAACATAACACCAACCTATACCCATATGCAAATTTTATTCTGTACAGTTGACCAATCAAAATGCTCCTTTGAGCAATATGGAAAGTTCATTGGTCAGTTTCTATCTCAGTGTAAAATAACACCTTGCTATATGTAAAACGTATGTAACAATAATTCAAAGAGTATTCAGAAAATTGTTACTCGAGCAACAATTTTCTTGTGTATCGCGTTACCTGGATGTCTAACCTTCATCGACGTATTCGAAGTATTAGCCTAGCATCCAGTCTTTTTTTTTTTCCAAACCCGTGAATAGTTTCATCAGGTTGGTAAGACACTGAGTAAAGAGACTCTTTTTACACAACCAAGTCTTTTATTCAGCTGACGTTTCAGTGACCGTCTGTCACCTTCCTCAGGACAATTCTGACTGGTTCACATTGCACTGCAGCACAGGTGTTGCTGCTACAGATGCATTCCCAAAAGACTTGCCTTCAAGTACCAGAGTTATCAACCAAGGATTCAGGTGTTCAAGAATTCATTCTTTCCTAGAATTATCACAGAGTGGAACTCGCTGTCACCAAGTACAGTAGGGGCATTGTCATTAGAAAGCTTTAAACAATGTGTAGAGTAAGATGTTTAAGAGTTAGGTGTAACAAGTCGAACGGTGTAATGTAGCCAGCTGCTGCCGCGCCGCGTGCCTGCGAAGCTGGTGTGTTACACCAAAAGGTGGTCATACCAGCTATACAGATACAGATACTTGGTTGTCTAAAAAAGAGGCTCTTTACTCTGCAATGACCAAAGAGTCCAGGCTATTACAGTATGCCACATTAGTGTGAAATCTTCCTCTGGTATTAGAGCACTAGCCTCCACCAGGCCTTTCTACGGGAATACGGATCATAGAATTTGGCAAAAAAGAGAATCAAATTGGCCAAGGCAGTCCGGCCACGGGGAGGTAGTTTCGTTCCTTCCGCGGCATAGTCAAACCCCAAGGCGGCCAAACTCCCCTGGCAAATATTCTCCTATATATAGCCAGCGTAGTTAGTCTGGTAGAGACTATTAGAGCATGGTACACTTGTAACAGAGGACAGTAGTTTTCCGGCCAGGTTTGGTCGTGAAGCCCAGCTTTCTTCTCTTCACGTCCTGGACATGTTCAGACCGGCAAACTCGGGCGGGACCTCTGGCATCATCGTAGTGGAAGACTGAAAAAAACAAAAAACACACAACGCAGAGCTGTTATTATTACTGGCAAGTTTTAGCCAAGCAACACTGAAAACATACAATGTAGACTTGAACATAGTACATGTACATACATACATACATACATACAGAGCAGGTGTACATGTAGTTGCTGATATAGTCAAACCTGTACAAGTGACCACACTTCCATAAGGGCCACCTGGCTTAATCTCCAAGCAGATCCTAGGGTGGCAAGAGACATGAACCGAATTGGCCAGGCAGTATCCATTCGCCAAAAACTCTGACTTTGACTTTCTGGTGACTGGATACTGCCTGACCAATTCGATTATGTCTTTTTGCCACCCTAGGAGATTACACCTGGCCAATGTGGACACATTTTAATGGTACATGACTGTATCTTAATTTTTTTCCCCATAAGTGCAAGTAATAATAAGCCTGTCTATACATAGTAAAACTGTGACCATTTTTGTCACCTTCGTCAGCTAGAGTAGCCACTACAGACAGGTTTGACTGTACTCTCAAAGTCAGTGTCAGTGAATAACATGTAAGTCTTAGGGTAAAATCTAGTAGGCTTTATACATGTATACAGTGTCGGCAGTCACAGTTGATCTAGCCACAAGTGTTGTCAGCCATGCTGCATACTAGTAGTTAAACCTGGAAAAGGCCAGAAGACTGAATTCGCATCTTGTAATCATGGTCACACACGATGCCGTGATTAAGCACTTCGGCAGAACGCACTGCACCTGCGCGAAACCTGTAATGTACTGTACATAGCACATGGACAGAACGTCTCAAGGTTGTATTTGCGCAAATAAGGTTAACATCCCGTCTGTAGTTTCCAAATGTTATGTCGGAAAACATATCTTCTGCAACAGGCAAAATTCTAATGCAACTTTGCCCAAAAATCCACCGAAAAGCATGTAAATACAGGGTTTTGCGCACTGGCGCAGTACGCTCTGTTGACATGCTCTATGATTATACATTAATTTTTTTACAAATGCAAATTCATGGGTCTAACTTTTCCAGGTTTGACTGGACAGAATGGCGACTGTGGCATTACATAGAAGCATCAAAGTGCAGCATAAACAGTGAGTAAGGACTGTGTACAGTATTTTGAAGCAAACAGGACAACAGTTGAGCGCAGGTTTTGGAACAAGCTCAGTGAGCAGCAGGACATTGCTGTTGGGCAAGGGTTTTCTCCAGTGACTGTCCCAGTTTTTTTTCTCCCCTGTTGTCTCAGCAAGACAAATAACAAAGTGCTTTGTACACAACTAAAAGTAAGCATTTAATCATCTATACCTGAAGCCAAAGTTTCAGTGGCTGTCTGGACTGTCACTTCAAATACCCTGGATAAGAATTCAAAGGGCTATATTTAGGTGTACTTGGTTATGCACAAAGAACTTTATTATCTGGTGATTTGATAATAACAATCATCATTGTGATGAAATAAACCATTCACACCAGCAAAATATGAGCGAAATAATCCTGGAGAAAACCCTGCGTTGGACAAGTAGTACGTAGAACACCTGAAACCACTACCTTCGGCGCTCCGCCCAACTTCAAGTTCGCCGCTCGGAATGGAGGGACTGGGGACACTACAGGGGAGCTGGTGTGGGGTTAACTACCGTTAGTATACGTACAACAGTCCAACAGAACGTCTACTAACATAACTCCACCTGGTCACATACATTATACAATGTTTGTTAGTTTGTTTTGCATAACCGCTAAACCGCCATTCTAGGCATAACACACCAGTTTTGTACAGTATATACATGTACATGTAGTAGAGGGGATTCAATCCTCAAGCTACCGACATCTTGCACACGCAGTCGTCCCTCAGTAAGACATCTGGAGCCGCATAGTTCCCGTTTAGAACTTTTATTCAGCCTTGTTTTGTACATATATGTACATGTAAGTACAACGGAAAGGTCCCCTACTCTTTTGGATAAGAGTGGTGGGATTTTCAACGTGTGTGAGGTGTGGCTCTCCCCAAACACGTGACCTCCATTTAACGTCCTATCTGAGGGACAGATTTGCATACCTAAAGGTGCTGCACAAGAGATCTTTCAAACACAATGTTTTTCAAAGTGGCAGACATACGTGTGCATATAAACTATATATATATATGTGAACTATATAACCAGGTGGATTTATGTTAATTGAGGTCAATGTCCAAAAAATAAGGTTCCGTGTAAGAAATGACAGATAATGAACAGGAGATGGTATCAGAAAGGTTGACTTTGCAGAAGTTTTGCACATTTGTTTCTTTTGGTTCAAATTGAAAAACTAAGCCTTGTAGGACCTATGAAATAATGAATTACACATTAATTATATAATTATCCAAATTACATAGAAACTCAATATGTGTTGTCTTTTTTTAAAATTTACATGTACAAGTGCAGTACAGGCTAAAGCTAAATCCCACTAGACTAAGTGTTTCAGGAAAGCGGGAACTACAGATCACTAGCTTCAAATAAGAGTCTAAAAACTAAGTTCAAAGACTAATTATTCAATCAATCATTTAGTCCTTGCATCCATGAATTATAGTTCCATGGAATTGGGTGTCAAATGGGAAAAACTCTGCATATTCAACATGGAACTGGAGTAAGAATCTAAAAACAGGTAAATGAGGAATTTGAAGTTTCCAGACAGTACTATAAGTATAATGAGGTTGTTAACAAGGTAGAAAGTTGAAATGGATCGTATCGTCATGCAGTTAGTTACCAATGGTTAAATAGCACCGAGGCAGCATGTTGACATAATGAAATTAGTTTACTCAGATGGTATTTCTCTAGATTTCTGTAGTTTTTCTTTCTTTTCTTTTTAATGTGGCAGTTGTAGGATACTTCCTAAAGGCCGACTTTGGGACTGGTGAAGGTTAGACATCCAGGTAACAAGATACGGCAAAACAAAGTTACTCATGACAAGCAACTGGATATGATTTTGGAAATGGTCAGGTAGCGTCCACTACCTTTCGTCTGTGACACTAGTTTAAGAGAACTTGTGCAGAAAGGCATGTTTAAACCTGTAAGATTGATATGCAAATAAGTGAAGTAAATCTTTTTGGGCAGCATTGGGACAACTGTTTTTTTTTTTATTTTTTATTTTGTTTGAGCTTTGGGACTACCGTTTTCCTAATTTTTTTTAAAGCTTTGGGACTACCATTTTTTAAAGCTTTAAAGCTTTGTAACTACTTTTTTTTTTCTATCTTTTTATTTTGAAGCTTTGGGACTACCATTTCTGCCCCTAAGTTGCCTGGGTGCTGGGAGTAATCAGTTCCGTACCTGAGAGCCTTGGCTGCTTGTGGACCACGTGGCGGACCTCTTAAGCTAATCTGTCTAACTGTGTGCCAAAAACACACTACGGATTTGGTGCGCCAATGTGTCAACATCTGCACATTTGCCACCGAGAGCCATTA